CAAGTAGTGCAGTGGGCCTTTAAACATTACAAATAAGCTATGAATGGTGACTTTCTCAAATGAAAATCATTCAAAAGCTCCATCATAAACGAACATTGTCATGTTGTTATTCTACTTAAGAGCCTGTTCGCTTATACTTTATTGCATAATGTTTCTAATAATTATTTTCTTTTACAGTGAAGCTGACAAGATTTTTCCAGAAGCTGTTCAACTGCGTTCATCAAGAAAAAAGGACCTTTTGAATTCCATTGAAATTCAACCCACTATGCCTCTGTATCTGAAACAAATGTATAACTTCGCCTCTTCTCTAGAGTATGACTTCGTTGTAATGATTAAAGTTTTCTTCAAATAGTCCTTGTATTTCACACAATTAATGCTACAATGAGAAATTACATTGATGTTTATAAACAATGAAGATTATTCAATGTAACATTCTCGACTATAATGGTAAAATGTCAAGATGAATTTTGTATGTATTTACTTTGACAGTTTTTTGTTTCATAATAACCTAACCTGCAAATATTCTAAGGTTTCTTTTAACACTATACTTCTAATACTTCTAGATAATATTTTCAGATACTATAATAATGAACCCAAATTAGCACAATTCAACATTGATATTCCAGCTACGAAGATCGAGCTATAGTATTGTGGAAAAGATCTTCTATGAATATGATATCATCGTTTAATGATGATAACTAATTGATTGACATTTTCCGAGCGTGATGATATTTGTCACATTCGTATCTAGTATATTGTACAAATGGTGATCATATGAATGTTATTTCATTTCTTTTCTTTCAATAAAAATGATATATTCTTCATACCTTTATTTCTTTTGTCATGATCAACAGGTATGGAAACCCACTGGAGTATTTGAGAGTGTGTTGGACAGGGGTAATGGCATTCCCTAATTAATGGGGAACAAACCATTAAAACTATATCCCCCCGTAAAGGAGGAGTGAGAGAGAGGGGGGGGGGGGGGGGGAGGGGGGAGGGGGGGGGGACAGAGAGATAGAGAGAGAGAGAAAAAATAGAGAGAGATACACACACTTTTTTTTATTACATAGGTTTTTTTTATTGATTCCAAACAATACAAATTAATTTTAGAAATAAAATACATTTGTTTTTCCTTGACATGAATTCAAAAACATTTTCATTACATAGATTGTACAATTGATGAAAACAAAAATGAAAGCAGTTGTAACATAAAACAAACAAAAACCATCCAACCAAACATACTACTACCTCCCCCCTTCCACCATGCGACCACACACAACCCGACCACACTTCAACCACACACTTTTCCTAGCCTCCTCAGAATACCCCAAATTGGAGCGACAGACAAACAGAAACAATATATTTTAAAAAAATAAAAAATTAAACGAGGCTTAAAATTTCATGAAAGCTTCACTTGTTCCCACTTCTGTAAATGTAAGGCCAATTCACCTGCCTTCCCTACAATATTCTTTTCTTCTTCCCTAAATTCCAACAGTTCTTTTATAAACTCCCCCAAAGATAATATTACAGACTTTCCCCTGCATTTATATATCCAATATTTCATTACAAAAATAATTGTATTAAAAATCTTTATTCGTGGGGAGTTACCGGACAACCCTAAATGAATATCTATCCAGTCGATAGACCTTAATTCCCTTAGCTCAAACTTAGCTATTACATTTTGCCATAATCTTTGAACATGTACACACTCCCAGAACAAGTGTAAATATCTCCCCACATACCTCATTTGAAAAATCTGAAACTTCCCGTCCATCATGAATCTTCAAGACAAATAAATTTTGTAACTTCTCTATAAAATATTCATAAACCTTCCTCGATAATACATCTCTGAGGAGCTTCACAGTACTGTTAAACTGCATTAAAATATCATACTCTTTTACATCCACGAAACTCCAGTTATCCTTTTCCCGCTTCTCAAAATAGCTTCCCCAATACTCCATACATCAACAATTTTGTTTACTTTTAACCCCAAATGTTGAAAATGAGATATTGCCCGCATGCCATTTCAGCAAAAATATCTTGAATTGAAATAATATTGCGTGTAAACAACTCCTCATCAAAAATCATTTTCTTTTTCAATAATAAATCTTTATTGTTAAAAATAATTGGATTATTCTTTTCTTCAAAATTCCTACAACCTTCTAACTCTTCCCATGCTTTGATCATTTCTAAATAGAAACTTAGGAATTCGATCTTTCCCATTTCATATAACTTCAAAACATATTTTCTGTATTTCCGATATGACCCACTTTGGAACCATTAGTGAAGCAAAAACGTAATTTAATTTACATAGACCTAATGCATATGTTTTTAATAAATGATTTTTTTTTCAAACACCGTCCCTCTGTTTCCACCATCCGAGAAGTCTTTTAATCTTGCTTAAAATCCCCTTGCTTAAAATCTCCACACACATACACACACACACTCACCCACACGCACACACACACGCGCGCGCGCGCGCACACACACACACACACACACACACGTTTCTAAGCATGTTACCCGGGTTTTGCGATTAACCCTAATATCGAGAATCGAAGTACCTATCGGAGAATTTGATTTATATGTTTATGGAATATGGAGCGATGATAATAATCATAAATACATTTTTTACAGACAGTCCCTGTCCACTCTAATTATGCTGGTTTGTGAGCATCATGACTTAAACAGAGAGTACAGGACCAATGTGGATGGAGAGAGAGAGAGAGAGAGAGAGATGTGTAGGTGTATTTTCATATATATCTCTCTTAAAGTCCAGTTATCAATTAATTAAAAGTGCTATGCCACTATAGGTCCGGCCATGACAAACATACATTTGAAGACTTTGTCTAATTTTAGCATTTTCATACCATTCAATAAAGTTGTATATAGATTTCCGTACTCGGATTGACTGCGGCGAACACATGCCAAAGTTTTATCATGTATGATTATTTTCATAGTCATAAATATACTAGCGGTATATAATACATAGACCCCTATCAAAGATCATTAACTCTGGCTTTTAAAGAGCCCTGGACCCGCCTTCGGTATCGAATCTATTTATGTGCAAGATGTTCAAGATTACAATTACTGCGTGAAATTAAAATATACAATCGCAAACTGGAGCCAACAAAATAATAAGCCTATAGCCTATATACCATACCTCTAGTATATTTATTGCTATGAAAATAATAATACCTGATATAACTTGGGCATGTGTTGGCCCCAACCAATCCGAGTATCGAAAATCTATACAACTTTATTGAATGGTATGAAAATTAGACAATATTCTCATTGGATCTTCCATGTCAAAATGTATGTTTGTCATGGACCTACTCTAGTCTGCTTCATATTGGCATAGCACTTTTGAAATAATTGATAACTGGACATCGAGAGAGAGGGATATGAAAATATACCTACACATGTCTTCTCTCTCTCTCTCTCTCTCTCTCTCTCTCTCTCTCTCTCTCACACACACACACACACACACACATACACACACACACGCACGCACACGCACACACCCACTACAATCACATTCACCACAGAGGCACACCCATATATCTTCACACGCAGAGGCGTATACAGATGTTGGCTTCAGGAGGGACTACCGGGGGAAAAACCTGAGCTTACTATGATCATCCTGTTTTGTGTTGAGGGGGGGGGGGGGAGGGGGTTCCAGGAAAATGTAATGCTTGACTTGACTCTTCTGTGACTAAGCAGCATTTTCTTAATTGTATAATATTTATTTAGTTATTTCATTTCTAGAGCATATCAATATTGTCACCATCAAACATAAGAACGACTTGCTAAAAGGGAAGAGTCGAAATGAGAGGAACGGGTCAGTGAAAGTTTGAGCCAATTCCGATTAAATATATGAAAGTTAAGAATTTTTGAAGGTACGTGCGATCAATCAATCACTAACACTAACGTATCTTGGGAGGTCCTCTCCAATTTACTCTGTAGGCCTACATTCATGGGTGTCGATCCCGGGGGGGGGGGATGGCCTGTACAATCATCCCCCCCCCCAATAATTCACCATCAAAAAAAAAAAAAAAAAAATTAAGAGAAAAATTAAGGATGAGAGCCCGATGAGAGTAGTTAATGGTTATTACTCGCAAGATGACCATCAATATGCACATTTTGCTATCTCATTTTCATAATACATACATATATACGAAGTAAATAAGACAACCGTATATGAGACAAGAATAAATTGAATTCTCGCTCATACGGCTTCATCAGGAATTGATGAATTTATTCAATTTGTTCAATCAGCAGCATCATAGAAAATGCAGTGCGCCAAATGCAAAGACGCAGCGTCAAAAAGCAACGAGCTAAATGTTAAGCGCGAAGCGCAAAAATAGCAATCTGCAATGCACATCAGACAATCCTCCTGGACAGTGTAAACATAGATGAACTCTGTGACGATTTCGTGATGAGATCGGGGACAAGGAGAAAGATTTTCGGACATTATTATGACTTATAAAATAGTTCTCTAGTTGTTATGTTGTTTCCGTTCACCCTTTTTAAAATTCACGTCATTGTATCTTTATTTTTGTTTTTTTCACTCATTTTATTTCCTGATATTTCCTAAAAGATTTTTCATCTTTGGAGAAGGATTATTATATCACAACTTATTTGTAACACAAATTACTTTCAGTGAGGAAACTGAATTCAGACAAGGATTAATATAGAGAACAGTACAACGAATCGTCTTCTTTCTCTAATAATTCAGTGAAAAGGGCAAAGCTGTTAGGGGCCACTGAATTCAGACGTGGATTAAGCGCAATAATCAAATGAAACGTCAAAGTACACGATGCAAAGAAGCGTCTTCTTTTACGAATAATTTATTGAAACGTGAAAGCTTCCGCGCTAAGCGCGGAATGGGCGAAAATGAATACAGACAAGGATTAAGAGTAATAATTTATTGAAACGTTAAGGGAAACTGAGTTCATGAAGGACACGATACAACAAATCGTCTTCTTTCACTAATGTGAAAGCTTCCGCGCTTCGCGCAGGAATAGGCGAAAATAAATTCAGACAAGGATTAAGAGTCGAGAATGGTACATAGGATCGTCTTCTTTCTTTAATCATCTAATGAAACATTAAAGCTTGCGCGCTACGCGCGGGGAAGGGGGAACTTGATTCAAACAAGGATTAAGAGTCGAGAACGGTCCAACTAATCGTCTTTTTCTCTTATAATTAAGTGAAACGCCAAAGCTTCCGCGCTTCGCGCGGTAGGGGAGAAACTGAATTCATGAAGGACTCGATACAACAAATCGTCTTCTTTCTCTAATGTGAAAGCTTCCGCGCTTCGCGCAGGAATGGGCGAAAATGAATTCAGACAAGGATTAAGAGACGAGAATGGTACATAGGATCGTCTTCTTTCTTTAATAATCTAATGAAACGTCAGAAGGGGAAGGGAAACTTGATTCAAACATTAAGGATTAAGAGTCGAGAATGGTACATCAAATCGTCTTCTTTCTTTAATAATCTGATGTAACGTCAGAGCTTCCGCGCTTCGCGCGGTAGGGGAGAAACTGAATTCATGAAGG